TAAAAGATTCTGAGAATACATCAGTAAAAAAAAAAAGTAAAGTAGCTAATGGATGCCTTCCATTCAGTGACACAAGTCAACACAAATGTTGTTTTATCTTTCTTTGGATTTCATGAGTAGTATTCAAAGTTAGTATTAAATGGAAGACACCCAATAAAAGCCCATACAGATGCGCAACATGTAGATATTTATTAGTAAAATATTATATAAAAAACGCAAACGTGCTCAATGACATTAGTATTCCCAACCATTTACTAATTTATTATCTTTTTGCGCTTGTTGTTGAAGAGGCCCAAAATCCAAGGTTGAAAAGTTTGTATTTTTTATATATTTTACTAATAAATATCTGTATATTGTACATTCTAACAGCCACATGGGCTTTTATTGGCTATAATTTTACATTTCTTTTTACAATGTATCATCTTAAAACAAAATGTGAATTTATTTTTTTACCTTGAATCAAGTACTCCCGCTATTTCAAAAATAATTAATTCAAACATGGTGCATGATAACGAAAATGTAGTTGAGAAAATTAGTTGTACTAGTCTATGATGAACTTCATAATCTCTGAATAATTTCTTCACAAAGAACACCCATCCTCCTAAGAAGAAAATTATCTGAAATATACAGGAAACAAAAATAAATGGAATCTGTATATAGAGATTCTATTCACACACATACACATTAAGTGTGTCCAAAAATAAATAATGTATTGAAACACGTACAGATTCGATATTTTATTTTACTAAATAAACTGCAAAGTTTTACAATACAAAATTTATTGTAATAATCTCAAAAATACATACATCTCACACAATTCAGTTACAGTTTCATAAATATGTTATTATGCAGAGAGAAAAATCCATAGACAATAATCCGCAAGGAATTAATGCTGATTGAGAATATAACAAGAAATCTTTTCAGAATACAACCAAATGATTTGTATAATTTTATATTATGTTTTACATTAAACATTTTGTTAATAGCGAAACAAACAATTGTTCACATTATTTCGAGATATACGTATAGAGCACCGTACTCTCTTTATAACCTTAATCAGTTCAGGAAGTATTGATAAATCTGATTTTTGTAGTGGAAACGAATTTCCACCTGTGTTACGAGAATCACGATAGTGTCCTCGATGAAACCCATTTTCCACTATCGCGATTTTCACTTCGCATTGCGAAGTTTTGACCGGCGATGCTCAGCACTTGACAGGACGCAGGTGGTTCCAAACAAAACGAACACGACAGCAAATACCTAAAGGCTGATTCAGATCAATCCACATAGTCTTGTGGCCACGTGGCGCAATTTAACAGTGTTGCCAAGTCTGTTCGAAAGTTATTTCCATATATTGCGATTTTCTCAATATTTTAGCCATAATTTAGATATTTCTTTGTATTTTTCTCCCAAAAAGTTTCTCAAAAATTCTCCTAAACTGCTTGTATTCCTAAAAAAATCCCTCGGTGGAAAGAGAAACCTCCAAATTTAGGGGAAATGTTCCAACTTGGCAACAATGGGCGCCAATTACATGAGAATCTTGAAGTGTTCTCAAATACAGCCAAAGACGTATTCTAGCAAAAGTTGCTTTTGATTTACATCGATTCTCAGATAATTCTCAAGGTGCTATTACATGAGCGTGGAAACGCGTAACCAATCAGAAGCGATCCGCCGTTATGGTTTCACGTTTTACAGATTACTGATATTTAAATAGTACACACTAAAGCAAAATATTTACTAAATGTAAATATATATTTATTTAATTTAAATATAATTTTTTTATTTTAAATAAATATTTATTTATTGTAAGTACATATTTTGTTAGTACTATCCACAAGCAAATATTTAATAAAATTCAGTAAATTTTTTTCAGTATATTTGTATGAACTCTGCATATAAAACAATACACTATTAGCTATTTATAAACAATGTTTTTTTTTAAAAATAAATGCTATTTTTACCTTAATTAACATTATTTTTCTAATAAGTGAAACTTTTTTTGTAATGTAAACCTTTGTGCGTATTATGCGAACTCTGCGAACTTTCGAAAAGAATTCGCTCAAGAGTTCGCATTTTTATCTTCTTATTGTTAGTAACATTAATTTCTTATAAAAATGAGTGTATTAAATTGATAAACTTGATAAACTTTTAGTTCAAATAATATATAAGAATAATAATAACTTAATAACCAAAAAGCAACATTTTACTGCTCAAACTTGGATTCTTGTACAATTAAGTTATATAGCCTGAAAGAAAAAGTGCACACTCTTGTATAATTACGTAGTCTTTCTAGATCCACTCAAGTGGGCGGTCTTATCCTACTTTTAACAATGAGATAACAGTAAAATTGCACTTTACAATAATTATCACTATACATATAATAAACAATAAGGAGTATTTAAGCATACATAAGATCTTTTTTGCAAAATAATCTATTTAAATTCGTTGCTTATAATAAAATTATAGCATAATATACTTAGGCTTGAATGTTCCTTATTATTTATTAGTAATATTATTATAAAACACAGCCTTGCTATTTTTATATATTTATTTAATTTATTAAGAAATGCATACAATGCGAGAGTGAGAGAAACAGATGCAATTTAAAGTTACGAAAAAGATAATTTTATGTATTCCTAAGATAATTATAATTGCTTTGATAATTTTGAACAATCAAGAATTGTCAAAAATATAGATTTTACAAAATACATACTTGCTACTTAATTGTTTGTCTGCAACAGACATTTTGCAATGCTGTCGATAGATTACTGGCAAAAAATATTATGTATACTGAAGTTTGTTAATAAGATATGTGATGGTAAATTGATAAGGGATTGATAAGAGAGGTCTGCAACATATGGTACAAGACAGATTGACGGTAGAAACCAAGTAAAAACCTACGTTTGAAAAATCGATGTACTATCAATATATAACCGTTATGTTATGTTCGCAAGCTCTGCCAGAATGCAGTCAATACCGATTTATACACTGAAAAAAAATATAGTCAATTTTAACAAATATTTAGTTCAATACTGCCAAATATTTAGTTCAATTTCAATACTGCCAACTAAATATTTATTAAATATAAAGATATATTTATTTGATACAAGAAACATTAATTTGATTTAACAATCATTCCTTTTACTGAACAAATATTTATTTACTGTAAGTAAACGTTTAGTTGGCAGTATTGAACTAATAAATATTTATTAAAATTGACTATATTTTTTTCAGTGTGATAATAATTTTTATTTACAGTTTTTGTTTACGAAAAACACTGTTTATAAATATATGATTTAAAAAGACTTTTCGACCAAATTTCGATTAATTTGTCAAATAACATTTATAACACTCTAGGTCTTATTAAAGTGGATAGAATTATTAATCTCTTCTCTCTCTTTAATTATATTGTTTGACAGATGAAAAAGATGATTATTATAAGAATGAATTACGCATTGGAAATTTTATTGCAAACAACTTAATTTATACCGGTTAAATTAATCGTTAATCACAAACACAATTAATTAATCGGAGTTTATATTCCAATATACTATATAGCATAGATATCCAGGGGATATTCTGAAGAACATTTTGAAAATGTCCCAAGTACTGAGAACGTTCGCAGGAACATCTGTGGGATAAAGTGTGCTGTATGGGTTATTAGATAGCAACAAATGCGATTGTTAATGACTGTATAAAATAATTTAAGTACCGTGATATTAAAAAAGAGATAAAATATAAATATAGCCGAAGTTGCATACTTCGTGTCATTAACTTCCGAGTTCTTGCTGATAATTCTGCGAATGAAAATAAAAGTCAATTATAAACCGTAATCACACTACGGATTGCCGGTTATCGGTTCTATTTTAGTCAATCTCATGCAGGGAATATGGACTAATGCAACGATGATTGGCTAAAATGTAGAATCGTTAACTAGCAATCGTAACCAGCAGCCTGGTAGTATGATTACAGCTTAAGCTTGATAAGAAATGATGGAAGAGGGAAGAAGAAAGTATGAGTGCTTTCCATTTGAAAAATAATCGACATAGTATTGTTCTATCTTTGTTACTCATGGAATACTAAGAAAGATAGAATAACGTTTGTGTCAATTTGTATCACTAAATGGAAAGCATCCTCTATGAATATCGAAAGTTCATATGACACAAGCGAAATATAGAAGTATGCTTTCTATGGCCGGTATTCGTAATCGATTTTTATATTTGAGATTGTTTTGAGTACAATCTTAAAATGTCATACCCAGACAACATGCATGTCTAAAAACGAGACATAAGACGTCTTAAAGTTTTTTAAAAAACGTTTTAAGATGTCTAAAAAAACATCTTTAAATCAAACGTCTTATGACACGATTTTGCACTTTTTGTTGTGTGGAAAACCTATCAGAGAGCTATATTAGCATCTTAAGACATTACTTCGGATGCTAAAATGTCTTAAAATAATAACGGACAATGAATACCGTCCTACATAAAAGATTTGAACGTATTGTAAGGCACATTTAATGTGATAGTTTTAGATTTAGAAAGCTTATTGCTTAAATAAGCTAAAACTTGAGACAAGTAGAAATGCTAATGATTATCTATCCACCTTTACATACACAAACACGACACATACGCGAAATGACGAAATTGTCGTACAATAGGCAGCTGGATATCGTGGCATGTTATCTCGATGATTAACAATACTGCCTTATCTAAAATTTTAACATTTGCCTCGCGTTAGTGATCAAGTGTCTGAATACGAACGAATGTTCACGCTCGTTTTTCTTTCCGCAAAGATCGTGGCAAGTGCACACAGATCAGTGCTGCAATGTGACTTACGAATGAACCGACTGTTAAATCGAATAGGAAATTCAACTGCATACAAACGTCAGATATTTTAATTCTGTCGAAATTTTGTTTTCATCGAAGAATATATAGCTATTTTCCCATTTCTATAATTCCACATAAATATATATTTTCTTCATATATATGATAAACATATAACAAGACTTATATATAAAATAATAAAGATTGTCATCGTTCCAACTACATAGATTTCGTGTGTCTGTTTGAATAATTATGTAGGTATTTATATTTGGAAATTTATTACATAACACGTGAAAAATTCGTAGTTGATTTGAATAATTAAAGTTTCTCGTAAAGAATTTTGTACCATCTGAAATTTTTACGTGTACAGTGGCGCGTTTATGGCGTAAGATTATGAAAACGCAATTTCCTTGAGAAACTCAAAAACAATTATTAGCTAAAGATTTAATAGTGTGAATCAATGTAGTATAGAACAAATGTCTTATACGTGTAAAAGAAAAGCAAATTATAATGTACATTTCTACGAAACTTAAAACGTGATAATGAAAATGCACTTTTTGAAGGAGTCTTGACGTATGCACAAATTATGCACATTTATAAATCTTCTTAACGTAGTTGAAAGTTTAAAGTTTAAAATAATCTAACAGCATTTTTAACCGTAGTGGGTTTGAATCGATCCAGAGATCGATTAACCCGAAAGTACTATTACGTCATCCAATCAGAAGAATCAAAGATAAAACATGTAATGTCAATAATCGCTCTCGGAGCGATCGAACTCGCTGTGGTTGCAAACGCTATAAAATACGTGCTAAATGAGAAAACTGTAAAGCTGGAAACACAATGGGCACAGGCGACAGGGAATAATGAGCCGTCCCCCATCAGAGCTTTGGGATATAATATCGAACTTATACCCCAGAGCTCTGACTCGAGACGGCTCGTTTATTCTTCGTTGCCTGTGCCTATTGTCTATATCTGTTGTTTCCAGCTTTGTGCACAGAGTCGATGAGTTCGAGATTAGTGACGCTGGAAGGACATAAAGAAAAAACGAAAAATGCCGGGCACTCTGACGTATCCAATCTACGTTGGTGTTGATTCACACCCACCTAGAAGACGCGCCCATACATGGACCGCACAACATTGTTCTGCATCACGTGTGGCAGAAATCAATTCGCAATTTGATCGAGTGTCCCTGTCGGAATCTGTGGTGAGATACTGAGACATACCTACTACGTACGGCGGTTGGGAGAAAGAGAAAGAGAAAGAGAACGAGAGAGAGAGAGAGAGAGAGAGAGAGACCCAGATAGCACAAAATATTTATAAGATTTAATTGAATATTTACAAAATATTTATCAAAATATTTTATAAATATTTTTGTGTTCTTATACATATTGATTGCACTGATCGCGAAGATTTATCATAAATATTATGATAAACGTTATGAAAATATTTAATAAACGTTATAATCTCGTAGAGGGGTGCGAATATAGTCAACGTTGGTATTCCTGACTCCTGTGGTCAACTTCTTCCCGCTGCGAACAAAGCAAGAAAATAAAAATGGGAATTTTTTTGAAAGTCTTAAAACTTTCTTACGAATGCATGCAGCAATGCAACTACAAATATACTTTTAAAATTTCACGCTACATAATAATCATAACTTTTAAGATTTTAAGATCATTTTAAATTTAGATATCTATGTGAAATAATAATTATTCATTTTAAAATTTATTATAGATTTCACATTATAAGAATACATTTAAAAAAATCTTTTTTACTTAAAATTTTTTCTTAAAGTTTTCAGCGTTTTAATTCTTTATTATTATGAAAACGTGCAGTAAATTTCTTTAAATAAAATTAATCTTTCTTAGTCAGGTATAAAACTGCAACGAGTTTGTGAGTATTTAAATGTTGTCGAATTTACGAAATCATAAAAATGTTATGTAAATTAGTTGTAAAACTATTTCATCGTGATTTTCATTGATCATGATATATCTTTAAGATTAAATCATGATAATTCAAGGATAAGAATAAATTTTTGCAATTTTCAAAGTACTAGATTGATAGTTATTTTTAAAATAATATTTCATGTTAATATATTTTTAATTTTTAATTCAAATAAGAGTATATAAGTACAATATTATTTTGTATTCAAAATTTATTCATATAAGCTGCATATATATTAATATTAAATTAACATTAGACTTTAATTTAATATATAAACAAAATGTATTTACATATATGTAAAAAATTTATTTATTTAGATATACATAAAAAAAATTTGCATTTTGTGCATATCTTGTTTATAAATTTTCTTGTAAAACTTTCAGATTTTTTACACTGCTTTTCTTGGCAAATAAATAATATTTCTATCATGGAAGGGAGATTGTATGGTGGGGATTTAAAATAAATTAAGAAAAATTTTGGTCAGATTCTTCATATTTATATCGCAAGACGTAAATATGAAGTGCGAGCGTGATCGGTCCGTGTTTTGAATATTTAAAAGACAGCTGGCCATCTTTGAACCCGGAAGCGAGGATGTCACATCCGTCTAGATCGTGCAATAGTCGCAGAGGGGGGTTAGGACAAAATAGGTTTCTTGATGGCACACAAGAAACTGTGAGGCCCGTTAAATAGCAAGAGAGAGCGGTCGGCGATTAGGTACCAATTGAGCAAACGTAACGTTAATGGCAGAGGAACATGTTTACGGTTACAATCCGACGGTCGGAGTCGATGCTGATTCCGTACGTAACTCCACTTTGACAGTTTGACAAGTACAGGTTGGGTTTCGGAGCGACTGATAAAGGCGCAACCAACGAACGAGTGTTACTTTCGGGCACGGCTGTTTATTATCATGGCCTTTTTTTCCCTTCCACGAAGCGGTTTCGTCGATATACGTGGTGCATTCCGACCAGCAGCGTGTATCGCGATGACAATGACGGAATCGTAATCCTACCAGAAAAATATCAGTTCGCGATGTTAATCGTAAATTACACTTGCAACGTAGCAGTATTTTAACGACGTCGCTCGCACGTGTTTTCCAAATGGCGCATTAATTATCGATGCTATATTTTACTATTCATTATTGTTGTAATGAAGCATTTTCGAAATAATTTTGATGTAATTACTAGCGATATGTCTTGTGCAACATAGTGCAATATTCAAGAAAGGCTTGTCTGCCATTATGATAATAATCAATCGGGGTGATATCGTTTGATAATTTTTCTGTAGTGTATCTGTATATGGAACTTGTATTTTTATAATTTAGTGCTTAAAATATGGTTGTGCAAATATTTTGTGGAAAAACATTATAGATTTCAATTACATTTCAGTATTTGTTGTGTTTTTAATGGTATTATAAATTATATGTTTATATATATTTATATATTTATATATATATAATTGTATCCACATACATAATGATATAAACATATATATTTATATTGATCAATATCAACTTGAACATACTTGTCAATAATGGAGCATAATTTTGATGTTTGATCATTATTACCAGATGATTTATTTATTTAGAGAGACGAAACGAGCAAGTTGAGGTTAAAAGTAATCGCTGGGCATCACTTAGCTAAGAAAGATATTTTTGGTGCAAGCGATCCCTATGTACGCGTGGACTTGAACACAATAAATGGCGATCAGACAGTGGATTCTGCACTTACAAGAACTAAGAAGAAGACATTGAATCCTGTCTGGGAAGAAGAGTTTATATTTAGGGTAAGTGGAATAAGGAGAAAAAGAATTTATGAAAAACAGTACTTTTTCCTAGATTTTTGGTGTTAGTGTAATATATATTACTAGGTCTGTTCTTTTTGGCTGAACTTTTGCAACAGTTCATCTTTCTTCTTCTTTTTTCCTCCTGAAGAGAATAGGAAGAAAGATGAACTGGTGCAAAAGTTCAGCTAAAAAGAACAGGCCTATTAACATGAACTACCTTTTGGCAGGTTAAACCAGTAGAACATAAATTGGTCTTACAAGTTTTTGATGAAAATAGATTGACAAGGGATGATTTTCTTGGTATGATTGAGTTAACATTGATGAATTTACCAAAGGAACAAGAAGGTCGCTCTATTCCTGCTAGGAATTATGTACTTCGTCCACGTAGGTAAGTATTTTTGGACGATTTCGCTTCATGCTACATATTTTTCAACTTAATTTTATATATTACACACCTTGATCTAATTTACATTATTTATATCTAGTTGCGATACATAAGTTTGGTATGTTATAACTTTCAATCAATTAGCACATGGGATGAATTATCAATTATAATTTTAGTCGCTTTAATTTCAATTTGCGGTAATATGTATATAATTTGAATTTGACTATATAATTAAAAAAAATATTCAATTGTATATACACTTTACATTAATATTGTTTTATTGAAATTTGTTTGTGCTTTGTACTTTTTTATTTGCAAATGCAAAATGAATAACTTATGAGGATATGGCTAGTAATCATTCCAGTCAGCGGTCACGAGTTAAGGGAACATTGGAATTGTATCATGCATACATTTCCGACTCATCTAGTATTGAAAATGACAACGGAGACGTATCTGATTCAGGCGGATGGGAGTTAGTACAGCCAGAGAATAACAGTCCAGTAGAGCAAAGTGCAGATGTATGTACATATAATCCATTGTTATAATAACTTTTCTGTATTAAAATATACATTTTTTACAACAAATGTGCAATATTTTTCGTATTTATAATAAGAATAAAGTAGTTCTATACAATTCTACAAAGTTTTAAATTTTAAAATACTTTTGCAGATTACGATAGTCAATAGGCCATTACCACCGGGATGGGAAGAAAGACAGGACGCAAATGGCCGGACATACTATGTTAATCATATAGCGCGTTTCACACAATGGGAACGACCAGAACCGTATGTGATACAGTTTATTAGATAAATAAATTTTATTCAAATACCTATAGTATCTATATTTAAAAATGTTATCTTATTGTAACATAGAGATACAACAGCGGCGAGTGGACTTGTTGAACAACGTAATTTGGATACAGCAGCTACTGAATTTCAACGGCGATTTCATATTAGTGCCGATGATGAAGGTAGACATAGGAACTCTGTAGTAAATCAGGTAAGTTCAATAGTGTTTCTAATTAAAATCTTTTTGCTACTTTTGCGTAAATTCAACATACATATCTTACATAAACAACATATCTTATATAAAAATTATACTACAAGTTTTATATTTACTACATATTAATTTTTTAAACATATTTAGGAAAAGGTTACGTTATTAATGTTAAATCCACTTTATAATCATGTTTTATTTTGAATAATTAAAATTAAGTCATTGCTTAATATTATCGACATTATATACTGTATCTATTTGTTTTAGAAAAATTTTTTATTTGTTTTTTATCTTTATGTAGTAAAGAGATTTCCTTCTAATTATATTTTTAAATAATTATATCTTTCTGCATTTTTAAAAATCGAAGTTGCGTAATAATATTCTCTGCTTTCAAATCTCCATGCTGGCAGATATTATGTTTCCTTTTTATTTATTTATATTCCACGTAAGATACATGTGTTCGTACACACACACGCACAAAAATCTTAATATGTGATGAAATCATTATTTATAAATATATTGATTCAGTGCGCATTTGTATAAAAATACAGGCACATTGTTAATTGCATATTATGTTAAATTTTATGAAATTATTTTATTATATGTTTCTTTATAATGTTCGCAAGAATTTTCCTGACATTTATTTATGGATTTGAATGTATGCAACATATTATGCATAAATATATTTGTTATTGCATATTTTTCTCCATATAAGAATGTGTTTAGTAAATAACGTAGTAAAAAATAGGAATATATTTTGAATTAGTAGAGGTAATATTAACAATTTAGTTAAACATTAATAATATTCATTTATCGAGAAGCACAAATAGCTTATTCTTAATATGTTCTTAAATGGTTAAACAACATTTTTAATCGTGTACACATTTAAAATTTCGACATTAGTACATCTATTCATACAATTCGTATGATTAGCATGCAGTATGTAGAAATTTGTGCATGTGTGTGTAAGGATGGTGAAGTTCTACGCGAGGACGATGAAGATTCGGAAGCAAGAGATTGTGAGGGTGGGGATCATAGGGGAGGGGGTATTGGGGATACTTCTTCAGACTCCGGACGTTCTGTCGATCAACGTGGCTACCTTAGCGAATCTGAAGAACAGGTATTAATATACATAAAGTTGTTATATTCACTTTTAGTTGAATGTAACGCTTAATACGTATATATTTATATTTGTGTGCTTGCTGTAAAGTGAATAATAGCATATGTAAGTTTTATTTCATGCATCAATCCCATTTAACGTATTCAATTTTGATAAAGCTAAGTCATATAAATTACATAAAGATACATATATTCTAGTTTCTTTATACCTGTTACAACTGTTATGGTTATATTTGTTAAAAACATATGTTAGTGAATAGGATGTGCAAAAGCATATATAGAAATGTTTATATATCTATTTAAATATTCATATATATAAAATAGCTTAATTATAGCATCAGGTAGAACTTACAAACTTAGATTTTCTCTTTCTTTTGTAATATGATATTTATTGGCATATTATTAAAAAAAAAATTTAATTTATTTTTTGTATTACTGCTTTATAATTTGATTAGTATAGCATGCTTTGTTTAGAACTTTATTTTGAAAATTTCTTTATATGTTTTTAAAATTTGGCATGTATTTTTTTCTTGTTATTTATTATATATTTATTATAAATTACATAAATAAATAAATAACATAAATACATATTTTCAAGTAATGAAATTCTGTATTTCAAAATATATTCTCTTGAAATTATAATATGTGCACTAGCTTATTGTATTAATAAATACACATCATTCTCATTTTATATCCATATATTGTTTTTTATTGGATTATAATATACAAATGTTTTTATATTACATTTACAGACTGATGATAACATCGACAGTCCAGCTGGTTCGAGACGTTCATCAGAGCAGGTACGTTTAATTATTTATTTTATTATATTATTTATATTATCTAATATTTTATATAATAATATTTTTTCTTTTATCTCAAAAATTTTAGATTGACAGCCCCAAACCTACTCTTCCTGTGTCTAATGATGAAGGATTGCCTCCTGGTTGGGGTATGCAAGTAGCACCTAATGGTAGAATATTTTTTATTGATCATAATGAGAGGGCAACAACCTGGATTGATCCCAGAACGGGAAGACCAAGCTCTATACCTAATAATATTGCACCATCAACGACATCGAGAAGTGATTTAGATCAATTAGGACCGCTTCCAGAAGGATGGGATAGTGCATACAGATGGACGAATCTTCTTTATAGATCATAGTATGTGTATTATTTTCTATAATTTCAAGTTTCACAAACTCAAATTATAATAATATTACATCTGGATATAATGTTTATTTATCTTTTTTGTTATAGATACACGAACAACGCAATGGGAAGATCCGCGTATGTCTAATCCTCAAATTGCTGGCCCGGTATGATTACAAATATTTTTATGTAGAGAAATAATATATATATATTTTCTAGCTATAAATATGTATATATAAATTTAGCATATTGTGAATTGTTATTCTTTTTCAGGCTGTACCATATTCAAGAGATTACAAGCGTAAATATGAATATTTGAAATCACAATTGAGAAAGCCTGTAAGTAGATATGTTCATTATTCATTAAATCACTTTTGACATACATATTATATTATATCTGTATATCTTATTGCAGAATAATGTTCCTAATAAGTTTGAGATAAAAGTTGGACGAAATAATATTTTGGAAGATTCATATCGTATTATAAGCTCTGTTAACAGAGTTGATATTCTAAAAACGAAATTATGGGTAGAATTTGAAGGAGAGGTAGGCTTAGATTATGGTGGCCTTGCAAGAGAATGGTTCTTCTTATTGTCTAAGGAAATGTTTAATCCATACTATGGACTCTTTGAGTATTCTGCAACGTGAGTATAAAAACTATTTTAGTGTGTATATAATGTATGATCTCTCTCTCTCTCTCTCTCTCTCTCTCTCTCTCTCTCTCTCAGAACAAAAATGGTATGATTTTTTATTTTTAGTGATAATTATACACTGCAAATTAATCCTTGTTCTGGTGTATGTAATGAGTGGATGGTAAGTCTTAATATGTAGTAAAACTATAATTATAATAGCAATATACATGATATACGTAATATACATAATAAGATAATTATATTAAAAAATTTTATTTTTTAGCTTTCTTTATTCGACCATTTTATAAAATGATGTTGGGTAAACCAATTGATCTGAAGGATATGGAGAGTGTTGATTCTGAATATTACAACTCGCTTTTATGGATTAAAGAGAATGATCCTAGTGAATTAGAACTCACTTTCAGTCTTGACGAAGAGAGCTTTGGTCATACATCCCAAAGAGACTTAAAGCCAGATGGTGCTAATATTCCTTTGACCGATGAAAATAAGGACGAATATATAAGTTTAGTTATACAATGGCGGTTTGTATCTCGCGTGCAGGAACAAATGAATGCCTTTTTGGAAGGTTTCAACGCTCTTATACCTCCAACATTGGTAAAAATATTTGATGAACATGAACTGGAATTGTTAATGTGTGGTATACAGCATATTGATGTGAAAGACTGGAAACAAAATACTTTATATAAAGGAGACTATCATGCAAACCATATTGTTGTGCAATGGTTTTGGAGAGTCGTTTTGTCATTCAGTAATGAAATGCGTTCTAGATTATTACAGTTTGTAACTGGTACATCACGTGTTCCAATGAATGGATTTAAAGAACTTTATGGAAGCAATGGGCCGCAATTATTTACAATTGAGAGGTGGGGTACACCAGAAAATTATCCAAGAGCTCATACTTGGTGAGTTTTTATTTTATGAAGGTATTGCATTTGCTAAAATTTTTTTAATTTACTTCAAACTATGTATACATTTTGTCTATTTTATATATTACATTCTTTAAAAACAAATAAAATATGGTTATTTACCAGTTTCGTTTATTATTATCGATGAAATAATTTCTTTCATATAAATTTGTTATACAATAACATAAATTATTGTTCCAGTTTTAATCGTATTGACCTTCCTCCGTATAAAAGTTATCAACAACTCAGGGATAAGCTAGTTAAAGCAATTGAAGGTTCTCAAGGCTTTGCTGGAGTCGACTAGCACGAAATACCTTTGTTCATGATGATATCTGTAATATAATGTATATATTACATATACCTTATAGAGGTACACAGAAAAATATATATTATCTTAATACGATTATCTTAATACGATATTTAAAAATTTCTGCACTTTAATGATTTTGTTGTCTCAATTATGAGCAACATAGCATTAAAATATATTAAAAATAATATGTTCAAAGGTTAAATTGCTTAGTTTTTCTAAATAACTTTCGATAAGTCTTTCAGCATATACTACGCTTTTGAAAATACTTATTATAATGAAAAATATTTACACAATCTGAAGTAGACTGTTAAAACTTGCAGTCAACATATTAACTAATCCAATTTTAAAGACATGTTATATTCTTACTATTGCAATTATGGGATTTTCTGGGAGAAGTGATTTGGCTGCTATAACAATGTGATATTATGATATTGATTTATTAATTGATTCTCTTTTCTTTGTTAATAATATTAGAATGTTATGAAATATAATTTGTGCAATGGCTGTATATGATAAAATTATGACAAATTGTTTCAAAATGACATAATCATGTTATCTCCTGCGACTTAAAAATTCTCTATACATAGATATGCTATCTTTTTTCTACTTTTAAATCACAAGATATTATATAACGCTATTTTGTTGTTAATAAATTCAATTCTTGAAATTTACATTTATATAAAAGTTTTAGCAAAAAGAATTACTTAACTTTCTTTTTAATTAAAAAATTTATTCTAAAAACTTTATATTGTTTACTCGAAATAATTAACTGTTTTATAAAAAGTACATTGTTTTCTAATCAATCAAACTTTTTTGATATTGTAAATATGGATTATATACATCATAATTTTAATTATATTTTTATGGCACACCAAACTATGCTTCTCTTTTTCAATTTTAACATGTAAATTTTTACACTGCACTGCTTAATATGTGTAAAGCTGTTTATATCTTTTGTTGAAGGGCACATATAAAACGCTTGTCATATATATTTTACATGCACACGCACACACGCGCGCGCGCCATGTTTTTCTTTATATACGTTGTTTCTTTTACAATCTTTTATGATTATGAAATAATAAAAGATAACATTATACCTATAAATCGTATTGTTCAAGAATGTATACTCTTATAATGTACAGAAGAATATAAACAGTTTTATAAACAGTTATTATGTTGTTAGAAGAAAAGGCAAGAAATGATAAAACCAAAGCTAATACTGTAACGATTTTATTTCAAAATTTTTAATTTGTTTTGCGTTAAATAGTATGAAATGAAATTATGTAGAATAAGTTATTAGATGACAATTCATATTTTATATCATATTAATATATAAAGTAAGATATGCAAAATTTTATAAATCTACTAATAAACTTATTTATAAAAAGATATATTGAATTAACAAATTGAATTAATTTGGTTGCAGGTGATATCATTAATAATACCTTGCTTGTTCTTCTGAGTTGATAATGACTTGAGGATATACGTTGCATTTAGGAAGTATAATTGTATACAGTAAATGAAGTGACAAGTTGATTGTTTTTCGGAAATCTAAATTGTTGTGTATATTTTGTCAATATTTAGTTGCAACAAAACTCAATAGTCTCGCATAGTCTCGAAAATAATTTAAATATTGCTCCTTGTTAATAATCGAAAATGACGAAATTAATATCAGATATGAATGCCTATCTTGTATTATAACATTTATTCACAGAATTAACATACATTCTGAAGGATACGGAGTTAATGTAACATTCCATCCTGTTTGTACAGTTTATTTTATTGTAAACAGGTACGTCCCGTTAGATAATAAATAATATTGTCATGACAGAAATTTTGTGGCCTTAAATTCTGGTTATGAAATTTCTTATTTTAATAAGTCTCTCGTTCGTAAAATCTAGATTTGTATAATAATAAAGTGCTCTAATTATTCGTTGATAAACGAATATCATTTGGTATTCCTTCATCTTCATATTAGATTTGCAGAGCGATATATATATATATAATCTTATATTTAATATGTTAGTATTTCCTAGTTTGGGAGATGACAAGTTGTATCCAGTGTAATCTAATATGTTACGAAGTGCGTTTAAGACTCTAAGCTCATTAATGGAGCAATGAACAACCAGCGCGCAATCTAATCTTCATAAATTAAAGTTAAGATCGGATAAAGAGAAAGATTGTCATTATGCATGTATAATGCAATGTTCTCTGAGTCTGTCTTTCAAAACTGGTAACTTTAAATTAATTCTTAAAATTTATTCTTTCTTTATAATATGATTAACAAGATATATCAACAAGATTGGCTCACTTAATTATTTTTTTCAAAATATGACAAACACGCATATGTGCGTTCGTTTAATGTATAATACATATATCATATGAATTTCATGATTTGCAAATAGTATGGTGAAATAGTAAGTACTACATGTAATTAACGTTAGATGGACTTAAAGAATATTGTCATAATGTAATGCAGACGATGCGAGAGACACGTAAATTTTTGTAATCAAGTTTGAATATGTTCTATTGTAGCTTCTTGTATTATATTCTTATATAAAAAAAATCATAAATACGAAAAAGCAGTATATGAACAATAAGATATCTAATGAATTTAATAATCGCGTTTGGTATCCTATGTATCGCATAAACATTTTTACAGACACATACAGAATGTTAAAATTGTATTTATTTGTAAATCGACGATATCAAAAAGAAGATTTAAATGTAGGTATTATCAGATAGATATTCTATTTGAAAATAACCACATTTATGCTTGATCTATATAAATATCCCGTAAAACTTAATGCCTTACGATAATTATATCACGCATTAGAATATATCTACTTAATGTTTGCTTTATTATTTACTGATATACGTTGACTTTATTATCGCGTCAGGTAGCTATTGTTTGACAGTATACACTTTAAGTGTCTTTATCTATATGTCTATACTTTCACTACCAATGCCTTATTTAATTTAGGACGGAAGGAGACTTAATTGTTTTAAGCTAGCTCAATGTGGTATACAACACGTTTTATTTACATATACTTACGTGCACGAACTGAAAGAAATGCGTGACTTAATTACGTTGTATTCATGTAAATATAAAAGAATACGTTGTAATATATTATATCAAAAAAAAAATGAACGCTTCTATATCGCAGTTGCAACAAGGAGTACATAAAAGATATGCTTACCGTGCTATGTCTTTGCGTTATGATTATTAATTATTAACGAAATACGGTGGAGTTTTCATTCACGAAAAAAATTTTAAGTATTAATATTATATTTAATGAAATTAATATTACAAGGCGAATTATGTTCTTATATAATATATATTGTGGAAAACCATACTATATATGCAAATAAATTATATTAAAAAGTTGCACATCATGTAATTCTTAATATCCACATAAATGATACAGTAGAGATGCTTTTAGATTTTTTGTATAGATTGTCATTTATTTTTACGTTATTGAATGTGTCTCAAAGCATCAAAAAATGTGTTGACAGAAAAAAATCGAAGTATTATTTTTATCTTATGAATTGTTTGATCATTAAATCTAACGAGATAAGATCAATAGGTTATTTTTTACAAAGTTTATATGTAATTAATAAAATTACAATTTGCGGATATTTTTTTGAGATGATAGATTAGATTTATGAAATATTTTATCGGCTATGATATACTTTTATTATAATAAAAATATATCTCAGTATAGAAGAGATTTTATAATAATGTTTTCTATTCCTTAATTTTATATTCTTCAAAAGAAATTTAGATTCTATATATCGAAGCAACGAACCGTTAAATTCATTAATTAGCGCAGAGGGTCCATTATGTATTTTGAAACGAGGTAAAAATTACAAAGTGAGCAAATCCACTAAGTGTTAACAAATGAAGTGATAAATATTTTACTGGATTTGTTCACTTTTGTAATTTTCATCTCGCTCCATGATATCTCCGGGCTATTTCAGATTTCTGAGTGCCATCCAGGTATCATTTTATCTTTAACCGAATGTTAAACAAAGCTAAAACGATACAAAGGGAGCACTCGAGTGGGAATCTGGACGCGCCTCCGATTTTAAATGAGTCGGCATTCCGATGATTCCCGTCATCGTTCCCGATCAGCGTTCGAATTTCCCGCCCGACGTCGCGCCATCGAGTACGCCCACGCGCCGCGAGATGGCCCTAGTCGCGGGCACATCCGCAGAATCAAAAAAGACAGTTGGGAAGTGTAACATCACACATCGATTTGGCGGCTCGCGTCGAGCCCGAAAAAACTTTCCTCTTCCGCGTTCCTTGGGCTCCAGCCGTGTGCGGTCGCGACGAAACCGCGCAGCCCCGCGTCTAACGTTGACGCGCGTGTACGCGTGTGGTGCGGTGAATATAAGTGACTCCGGACGACGTGAGTACAAGCGCGAGTATTGCGCCGATGGAAACGTGACTGTCCCCTCGGTTGTACGCGGTGGTTCCTGTCACGGGCAGCGACAGTGGTAGCGGGTAGCAGCTCTCTCGTTCAACCCCCGTCTTCTGAGAGCCACGTCGTCGACACCGAGGGAGGGAAACTCGGCGTTCCGATAACGACCGCGGTGGAGGTCACTGCATTGCGGTGAGTACGTCGAACCCTGTATACACTTTGGCTTTCCGTACGACGCTTTTGTACGACACGGCACGCCTCGTCAACGACGGAATCTCGCTCCGCGAGACCCTTTTCGCCACCCTCGCGCCGCACGAGCAAACCCCGTCGACCGGCCGTCGAGGGTTCATTACCCCCTCGACAACGAGTACACACACGGCGCGGCGTCGCGCTCGGTCGCCCGCGCCGTGGTGAGCTTTCCGCCCCGCCGTGTCTATTGAAGATCCCTTGGCGATTTCGCGGAAGGATCCTCGCGAAATTTTTGAATGCCCCGCGATGAGAAATTAGCTGGGGAGGAGTTGGTCGTTTAAAGCGACGTTCGCGAGCACGGATTTAAATGCTGCGTACCGGTCATCAACGGGATACTTCTGTCGCTTCTGACATTCGCCGCAATCTCTCTCATGATCGATTGACGTTTTGAGTTTCGGAGCTTCGTCAGGGTAATGATAGAAGCACGTTAAAGATCCTCTCGAGGATTGTTTATTACAATACATGTTATAGACACATACCTTGGAGCAGCATAAATAATTCTTGTGCTGCAGCCATGATGTTTATACACTTGCGATATTAGTACAGGTGCGTGGAAGCTAAGTAGAATATTGTACAAAGTTAGAGGAATTAGTTGTTTATAAATATTTATTTTAATTATTTTAATTAAGTTGTAATTTAATACACACGTATGTAATTTTACACGCAGAAAAATACTATTCTGTTGCTGAGGAAAGTGATTAATCAATTTACCTTTTTCCTTTTAACTAACGATCATCTTTAAAAAAGAATAATTTTTTAATAATAGTCTTTAAAATATACTTATTACAATTATTAGAGAAATTCATGATACGGTATTCAAAACAAGAATTTATTTTCTTTTGAAGAATATTATAAAATTGATTGAGAGAAGAAGCGATTTTATATAATAAGCAAATCGAATTTGTTTTAATTTAATAATTTTGATTGAAATGTTAAACTTATTAGGATTAAGAATATATTTTGAATATGAGCTTATGAGATTTACGGATATATACTTTTTAAATACTTAAAACAGGTTATTAATGTTTGCGTAGTATTTATGTATTTTTCTGTGTATATATATTATGCATATATTTTTATAATAAATAAGTAAATTAGAAAAAAATTAATTAGTTAAGTAAACATATCCATATCCATGTAGTGACATATATTTATATATTTATTTATTTGAGTAATTAGTTATTTAAAAATTTACCCGCCTGGCGCATTAAAGTGCTTCTCGTATTTCGTTAATAACCCGCATTAAAATTTACTCAAAAATATTATTCCCATATAAACTCAATGCAAAATGCTCCATCGCGTATAATTTAATCATCTACGAATATTTTTCATGCAAATTAAAACATTGCTGTTAAAATGGAAATATATAATATGTCGAGTGTTTTATTTTATTAACAGCAATTAATATCTTTTGCGCCATTCGTGGGTGATATATAATCATTTAGGATTTAGGATGTCAAATGACATTCTGTATCGTGTTGAAAGGAATTAAAATTATTTTACACAATGTATCTAAAACTATAATTGTGTTAAGCTATTAATATATCATTGTTACTTTTGAAATGTTTATTATCTTAATCCATTGTATTACGTCGTATATATGAACGTTATTATTATTTATTTAAGCAATCTAAATATGAAAATACGTACGAATTCCGTGCAAAAGTAATTTTAAGCTTTGATAGATTAATAGTTAACATAATTAGTCGCTTCCATGTTTTATGTTAAAGTTACATCCGACATTTGTCGCATGGCGTTTCTTCATTTGACGTTTCTTGTCAACGTTTCATCATCGCAATATTACATCCGACAGGAATTTTTTAACCATCACCGTTGTATCACACGTCGCGTGTTGGCGTATTTATATTGCGTCAATGCTACTGTGTGACACAATAGTATCGTTTAGCAATAAGCACAGATAAAACTCTCTTGCGGTATTGATGTATATTATGTAACTAACAGAGTCATCTAATCAATCCATACTTCTCTCTCTCTTCTTGCAAAGAAATAATCTTAAAACAAGGGAACTGGATCTAGCATTAGATCGAGTACGCCGCAGTAGTAGCGGTTTTATTTGATATCGACTCGTCGCCGGTTGGCGTGTATCTGTTTTTGTTTAACTCATGTGGTCACTTTGCAGTATCTCTCAGCAATACGTCGATATTCCTCTATATTTTCCGTTGATATCTTTTTTCCCTCCATCGAAGCAAAACTGTGCGCGCGTTCGATATATAATAAATATCAAGATGAGTGAAGTGACGTAGAAAGCCAGCAATCGCCATCGAGCGTTAATTAACACTCGATTAATAGCATCCTTTTGCGTTTGCGAGCGACGTGTGTCGCTTTGTCTCGAGCTATTTATTAAAGCGCATCAGTTTACATTGTCTTCCCGTATCCCGCGCGCGGTAGCTTAGGAGTGTCAAATGGGCTTTTCACATTAATTAAGAGATCTAATAATAATCAACCGTTCTTTGGCTGTTGGAGTACTCGAGCTCACTTGCCTCGTCAAAGGAGAATTGGCGTAGTTAGCCGAAAACTGAGATCAAATATGTATTTAAAGCATAAATATGTATTCAATAACTCCACACTGAACAAATGCTAAATTTTAATAGATATTTGCTTGAATAGTTCTAAGTAAATATTTACTAAATGTACATATATTTTACAAGAATTATTAATTTGGTTTAACTACTATTTTTTTATTGAGTATAAATATTTATTTACTGTGTTTACATAGTACTATTCAAAGAGATATGTATTAAGATTTAATAAATTTTTTTTCAATGCAGTGTGTTACAATTTTTCTGATATAAAGTTAAAAGTACAGTTTTATTTTATAGCTTATTTTATTCACGTGAAAGATTTTTGTCACATTATCTCAATTAAACTACATCAATTTAAAAAAACCGTAATTTTTTTTTAATTTTTCAATTATTGATTCTTCTCTAAAGTTTTCTACAATTGCGTAAGCGTAGTTGTAAAAAGTTGTAGTTGTAAAAATTGATCACAGTTGAATCCTCATATTTGACTGTGATTAATCAATTTTTACAATTACAACTACTTACAAGTACTCGTAGGTATGCAATTGTAGAATTAGGCGAAAATTTATTAATGCTTAATTCACTCCAAGAGTGACAAGAAACGATCATCAAGTTTTTTGCACCATTTACCTGCCAAATTGCGTCGTGCTGTACATATATGAGGGTAGACACAACTGGTGTGTTGCGTTAATTATCGCGCGATCGTAATTAGTCGTGTTTTTTCAATCGATTGGGTGCACTCGAGTGAATGTCCAGAGCGATGCAGTATCCAACAAGAAGATGGCGTCGATGAATCGGCTGGTGAGTTTAAATTCTCCCTCTTTACATCCGCGGGATTAATTGTTCATTTATTTTGCTCACGATGACTGCATTAGGGAGCACGCTATGCTATCAGGTGCGTAGGTCTAATGAATGATAGAGTGTATATAACACTGATAGTGTACTTCTGGAACGCAGCCGACGCGATGACTCGATATCACGTTACAGTGATGATAGCGTTTTATACCTACATAGTTGGACAATTTGTGTTAAATTTAACACATTTTACGTGTCTCAAACGGTCCACTCAAATTTTTGTATTAATTCAACACAACATGAAC